GCCTGATCCGGAACATTAATTGAAATTTAATAATGCTTAGGAGCAAGACGAATATTGTACATGTATCAAGTGTAGAGCAGAATCTTGTTTAAATTGAAAGCTAATTTAATTAGCTAAAGCATGCAGACAACCTTTTAAAGGCATTTTAAGTTCAAGTAATTTGAGTAAATAAAATAGTTGCCGATTGGAGTTCATAAATTTAAGGCGGAACCATTTGGCTTTACACTTCTTGTTGTTGTAGCTGTTGCTGTCTCATTGTTGAGGACAGTGCTGGGCGCTTTATTCTTGTCGCTGCTCGTCGCTGATGTCAAGCCAAAAGCGGTGCACATTTAAAGTCTCATTGTTGCTGCTGGAGCTTGGAGCTTGCAGCTTGTGGCCTGGAACTCTGGCCAGGGCGCGCCTACTTCTGTTATATGTTGCCTACAACATGCCACATGTCGGCACATGAAACTGGGCTGCGGATTGTCACGTAACAGGCAGGCAGAAAGCCAGCCCAGGCCGGCTAGCTGGCATCCACACAAACAATCCCGGTTCCCACATAGAGCGTGGTCAATGATCGACTGGGCCGTTAGTTATCGCCCAAGCAAACTCTGTTGGAAGCACTATGTATTTTATTACAGTGCTGCAGCAGTACCGGCCACCCAGGCGGCAAATCTGAAACCCAAAAGTTCAAAGACTGCTGACATTTTGTGTCACTCTTGATGTTGTTGTTGTTGTGTATTTTTTGTAGCACATGCAACAGCCGATTGATTAAAGCGCTTTAAGAGAGTCACATAGGGCACCATGTGTCGAATTGCCGATTGAATTTCAACAAATGCATAAAAGTCAGAAGAAAATATGAACTCAACGAGAGCTGCAAATAAATAAGAGTATAGACACTGAGAATAGTCGACTGGGAAATACCCTGTCCCAAAAAGTCAACATATAAATTTGAGCATAAAAAATCACATAAAAGTGCAGTTAGTTGTCACAATTCATATAAGAGTTACAATTCAAATATTAGTTAATTTTATGAAAGGGAGAATGTCAGTCTCCATACTAGTAATATGTATACCCTTTGTGATGCACTTAAATGGGCAAAAGACACAAAAAAGGAAGCAACAGACAATAAGAAGACAAAAGTGCAGACATGAGACACGAGACACTTTCATATGGCAATCAAGCAGAGACAGCAGCGTCTTCACTCCATCCAAAAATATATTTCCAAGCGATTTAACAATGAATTTCGTAACAAAATCCTATGGCAAATAGAAATAAAAGTGCCCGGCAAAGACAAAACCTGGACGGGATCAGACAGACAGAGATACAGACAGCCCAACAGGCAGACCAGACCGTCTTTATAGAGTTAGCTTGACAGCAGCTCTCACATAATATCAATTTCAATAAACTAACAAGCAAATGTATGTGTGCTTATGTGTGTGTCCGTGTTTATGTGTGTACTTATAGACTAGAGCGCAGAGTAGCATATAGTAGCACTGAGGATGTGGCGGCACTCATAACATTGTGGAAGTTGAAGCTGGAACAAACTGCTGTTTGTTTGCCTTTGTATGCTCAAAGGTAAATTTTAATTTGATCAAATGACACGCTGAAAGCAGTGAAAGACAATAAAAAGAAGCCACGTTGGGATTAAGTTACCAACAAACAGAGGATAAAGAAGAAAGTGAAATATATAAGAATGCTAAGGTTATTAGAAACAGAATTAGATAATAGAGAGCACTTCTCGTTTTAATTGCTGACAATAGTAGCTTGAACTCAGTCAATCAATCATCCAGTCAATCAATTCATAAAACAATCTGAGAAATGAGGAACGATGTTGTGAGCTCTGGACATAGATATTTTTATGGAAAACTACTCGAAGCGACCTGAAAATGTTACTCTCATCATGTATATGTATATATATGTATGTCTCATTGTTTTAACACAGTCTAATTCCATGTACATTTTGGACAGAGCAACAAAAGACGCACAAAAGCGTGCTATGAAATTTGTCACTTGGAAATGCAGTTGCTGTTGTTATTGTTGCTGTTGCAAGGCATAGAGAACATTTTGATGCATTTCGTGTATGACAAGTTTAATGAACATGTTGGGCGTGTCCGCTGCAGCTGGAAATTGCAAGACAACAGTAATGTGAGATAAGCCAGTTGCCAGCTGTTATTTGTTGTTGTCGTTGTGGTTGCTGCTGCTGTGATTGTTGCTGTTGTCACTGCTGACATTCTGCAACTTGTGCAAAAGCAACTTTTACATCAAGTGCCAAAATGTCAGCACATTTGTGTCCCATTGTCTTCGCCGACGTCGTCGTTAGTAAAATTAATGCACAGCCAACATGGCGTATACTTGTTAAATTCAGAACAGCAGCAGCAAGGAGAAACCAGCGTCAATCGCATTTGCATAGCTTAAACTCAACTTGAGTTCCAACATTCTTTAATGCAAGCTGGAGTGCTCGGCATTTTCATCAGTTTTCATCATTAATGTTGCTTATAAAATAAGCTTATAACAGTGATATGCGAACATTCAACAAACTGCACTTTGAAGCAAATTTAAGTCGAGCACTCTATGCTAAACTGGCTTCGGGCCCTTTACAACTTCTACTTCCTACTTCTACTACATTTGCAAATGTTGTGTTGTAACCTAAAGCCAGCAGCCTTTTGTGCCTTTTCATTGTTGCTGCTCTAAATGTAGATGAACGCAAAGTGTGGCAAGAATATAGACTATGGCACAATAAGCAGCTGGCGGGTGTGCCACAGCCTTAACCCAATTTGCAACAACTACGCCAAAAGAACAAAAAAGGCGCTACGCCAGCTTTAAAATTAATATGCTGAAAATCTGGAAACGATTTGCAACTAATAGGCAAAGGCTTAAAATTGCATTAAAACTTTTACAAACTGTAAATATGTACATGTGTGAGTGTGCTTGTGTGTGTGTGTGAAAATTCAATAAGCTGAAAGTTGTGGCCAAAAAAGTTTTGCAGCCTTTAAGCCCACACAACTTGAGTGACTCTTAAAGCAAAAGTTTAACAAGGCAACAACACCACAAAAAGGCGCAAAATATGTCTGCGAGCGACAGAGACAAAGAAAGAGAGAGAGAGAAAGATAGAATGATAGAGAGAAATTCCAAGCATTGAGCAAGTCAAGAAATCATAAGTATTAACATAAACCCAAAGTGACCAATGCGGTGCTAACTTTTAGTTTTTGGGCCAGATAAGTTTTCTTTTTAACAAGCTTTCAACTTGGCTCTTAACTCTTTCGCAGATGCTGTAGCTGGACACCCACGGCCATGCAGGATATACGACTACGTCTGGAGCCGCAACATAATACAGCCGCGTTCACCAACTCCCCAGCAGAGGCAACATCTTCGGCCGCAACTCTGGTCAATGCGGAGGCAGCGCTCATTGAGACTGGCGAAAGGAAAGGTTCTGCGGAAGGCTCGCCGCTAGTTCAGCTGCTACCTGAGCTAAGTTTCAGGTAAATCACAGCCGCGCTGAAGTGTGCCACAGCTAGTAAAGCTTCTCTTACAGCGCACCCACAGCGAGCAGCACAGTTCATTATTATCAACATCAACATCAACATCAGCCTCACTCCCATCAGCATCCTCATCAGCATTCGCATTCCCATTCCCACTCGCATTCGCATCCTGTGCAGCCACGTTCCACGCCCCGTCATCAGGTGGAGCAACTGCAGCTGCTGCACAGCCATCACACAGCGCACAGCCAACACAATGGCCAAGAGCTGGGCGAACAGCAGATGCCACGTTCACCCAGCTCCGAGGAGGACAATTCCCCAACTGAAATGAATAATTGTCGTCGTTTGGTTGATAAACCGCCTCTGGTGAGCACGCTCTCGATTTTTGTATGACGTTGCAGGATAACAGCTGCAATAGGAATTCTATTTTCAATGATGCTTAAATTTGACTATTAGCCTAATGAGCTCTGGAGCAGAAACGATGGAAAAACACACATAAAATGTCATGAAGTACAGTCGAACTAACTGAATCTTAAAGTGTTGCCTGGTACGCTCCAGTCCTTGCATAATTTTTGCATAATTTGTATTAGTCCTGGCCAAATTGATAAGTCTGCTAAAATTGATTGATTTTATTGGTTTACTTAGCAGAAATCGATTTAATTTGAATGCCAATGATGCTGCCAAGTGAAATAAAATGGCTAAAAGTGAGCAAATTTTGCATACTTTCAGGAGTCATTAAATAAAGCCAAAGCTTTGACTAAGACACTAAAAATAGCGAAGAGAAGAGAGAAACTACAGAAATATTATTAAAATATTTGTCGAGGACCAGGCCATTGTTCAGTAATCAATGTATCTAAAACCATCACTCAATCAATCCTGTCTCTTCTTCTAGTGCCAGATTCACGTTGCTTCACTGTAGCCTAGTTCAATTCACATTCAATCGATTTTAAAGTTTAAACCTAAAAAACAAAAAATTAGTTTTAATAAAGGCTTTAACTGGCAGACAAATTGGCAGCACTCGAAAATCAAATGCAATTTAGTAAAGCACTTCCAACAGCTTGGAACGATGGCATACTCTAAAAATGTTTGCCACTAAACAAGACCCAAAAGCGTTCATTAAATTAATTTGCAAAAATGCAAATTTCCAGCTAACGGCACTTTGGCACGCGCCGCCAGCAATTCCAGCAGCAACAACAACTGGAAAGCTGAAGTGCAACGCGCCATTTTCTGCTGCTTTTCCTCACCCACACACGTTCGCCGGGGGAGTGCAGGAGGGAGTGAGATGGCAAGTGTGTAGGTGCGTGTGAGTGTGTGGCAAATGAAAAACTTGCAGCAGGCATGCCAGGCGAATGGCAGCCAAATGCCGTTAACTTAGTGACTTTATGACACATAAATCGCTGCAACAATGCCAACAAAATCCTGGCGCTGGCATTACGTGTCCTGCTTTCTACACACACCCACACACACCTACAAACGAATATACATACAGCTATATATCTATAGGCCTACAGCTGACAGCTGCAGCTGCAGCTGGAGCTGCAGCGAGGCAAAAGTTTTCTGCCAACTAAGCGACAGACAAAGGGCGGAGAGTCTCTGGGGAGATAGACAAAAGGTGGAGAGAAAGGACCAAATCAAATGCCGGCACAAACAACTTGGAATGCACTCACTGAGAGTGCTCCACTTGAAAATACCCTATAGGAAAACATAAACAGAGAGCAAGTTGTTGTTGTTGCCTTGGATGAAGAGGCGTATATAATCGCATATATACCCAATACCAATACGAAATATTTACTGTTACATATGCAGGCGTTAGCTGGCCATCGCCTTAGCGCTAGCTACAGGGTATTGCAAAGCTGTACTTTGCCAAACGCTTGCAACTTAGGACACGCCCCCAGCCCGATTGTTCCATTGTTCCCATTATGCCTACCTTTTCTGCCTGCGCTCTGCAGCATCTTCGGCCTCTCTTGCTCTTCTCCACTTGTTTTCATCTCTGCTCGTTGTCGATTCTCCCACTGCATTGCATTTTTTATATTTACGCCTTTTTCTAGCAGTTGTCAGCCGGATTTGTCGAGCATCGCCTGCCGACTGCCACTTGGGCGCATTGTCTTGTTGAGGATTTTGCATATTGCGAGGTCTTTTCCAATGTCATTAGCATAATGGGGCCATTAGGTTGCCACCCGACCCCCTCCGACCAACCCCTTGACACTGATTGCATGCTTAACGATAAAGCAGCTCTGACTGCCAATTCAATTAGCTGCAATTGCGAAATGATGCACAGCAGCAGCAAGAGTAGCTCTCTTAAAGCCGAAACGGGGCATTCTATCTAAATTTTAAATCTTTTATCTTCTAGAAGCTCTAACAAAGTAGAGTGCTTGGCTAGGGGACAACCTGCAAGGTTTCTTATGCGAGTGCTACCTTAATCAAAAATACATACTTCTTATATAAACATAAGAAATACTTATCTACAAAGTCAACTTCTACAAAAGCCTCATTATGTTAACTATATAATGTTGCTATTCATGAGTCTGATAAAGTGGACTTAGCTCGGCTTGAAGCTCATTGAGCTAAATGCCACATCAAAAGCGAATTTCGGTGGCTACATAAAATCAACATAATTATTGCAAATTAGGTAAATAACTTATAAAATGGGGGATAAGAGGAATGAATGGCGGAACTGGGAAGAAGCCAGTCAACACTTGAGCGGAACTGTTTACTAATTGGAAACGCTTTAAATGCCGCCCTACAAGCAGGCAAAAGTTTTTGCTTTAACTCATTTCAAAGTAATTTACCGCAGCCCCAAAAACCAAAGCAACTTCCAGTTGGGGGTCGACAGCTTGGCGAGAGGTGGCTTCAGTGGTCGAGAGGGAGTGTGGCATGTGGGGTGCGGGAAGTAGGAACGACATAGTTAACATTTTATTAGTAACCAAAAATGTAACACATCAATTTTCAATTCAATTTCAATTTTCAAGGCGTTTTCCTGCCAAGATACCATGTAAGCACAGGAAGAGGAGGGTATCTTGCTAAGGACTGAACATGTTTTATATGCCTACATAAATTTATGATCCATATGGATCCTAAAAGTTGAAGAAGCAGTCCTATAAATTCTAGCTTATAGCCCGAGGAAAACTGTTTAACAGGGCATTGCCGTCGTCTAGCTGCTTAATATTACTTTGTTCTAGTCCTCATCGACTAAAGTGATATCCTTGTTAGCTGGCTTTGCGGCCAGATTCAGCAAAGTGAATTGCAATTATTGTGTGGCGTTGGGTTGGCTTGAAAAGTTTTCTCGTTGTTGGCCAAATTGGCAGCCAACACGAAGCCGAATCCCAGTCATGCAAAACTATTGATGAACTCTGTCCCGATCTACTTTCAGGTGAAACGCCTCACCATGGGCATTGGACTGCTGCGTGGCACTGAGGACAGCCGCCCCCTGGTCCACAACACGTGCTCCTCCTCCCTGAACTCGGGCTCATCGCAGACCATATCGGATGGCTATGTGAACGAGGCCATCTGCGAGCCGGACAAGTATGTGGCTAGCAAATTCGGTGACTCCTGTCGCCAGTCGCTGACGGCTCTGGAAACGGCCACTCAGCGCTTACAGTCAGAGCTACCCAACAGCAAGAAATATTTGAGGGAAACATGCAGCGGTAGGTATTGCAATAATTCTGATTAACGATGTCTCCTGATCCCGACTGCTGATATTAACATATTGTTTCTATGTTGCTCGGGACTTAGCCAACTCCAGTCCGAAACTGTTTGCAGCGAGTTCCCCCTTGCGCCTGGACAACCTCAGCCTGGCCGAACAGCAGGAGCTGAAGGGTGCCGCCTGGTATCAGGCGGGCATACCCAGGGAGATCTCACTGGAAGTGCTATCCCGCCAGAGTCCAGGCGCATTCCTAGTGCGCCAAAGCAGCACCAAGCCGGGCTGCTTTGCATTATCCCTCCGTGTGCCACCACCCGCGCCACGCGTGGCACACTACCTGATACTGCGAACCCAGCGCGGCTATAAGATCAAGGTAAGTCAACAATCAGGTTGGCTGTAGTTGCCAATCATGCAGGCCATAGATGAGACAAGAGTAAACCTTAAATTCGTAATTGCTCGCATCTCAACAAATAGAAAATCAATATCGCTCTCTCCCTCCCTCACTCTAGCGAGCTCAGCTGCAGCCGAACATATTTATCGTAGAGTAAACAGGCATTAAATATTTTTGTCAAACTGTTCTCTCTCTCTCTCTCAACAGGGCTTCACCAAGGAGTTTAGTTCGCTGCGAGCATTGATCACGCATCATTCGGTAATGCCAGAGTTGTTGCCTGTGCCACTCACCCTGCCACGCCCCCCGCATATACGCGCCCACACACAAAACTATGGCCACGGGGGCGGAAACGGAAATGGGGGTGGAGGGGACTTTGAGATGTACGGATCGCTGAATGATTTTCGCAAAATGATGGCCGATTTGAATGTGTGACACAGCGGCAGGCATGATGAAAGCGGGAGCAGCTAATTAATTAAGTAATTATTGGCATATTGATTGAATTAAGCTCGCAATCGGGAGTCGGGACAGGATGACAAACTGATTAATTTGCCTAATTGGCTGTGCTGGCGGTTGACGTAGCGACAGAAAACAGAAAAAAAATAACAAGGAAATAGCCCAAAACCCAAACACAAAAAGAAAAAAAAACAGCGTCGTAAAAAATTATAATACAAAATCCATTGAACTGAGAGAGGGACGAAACAAAAAACAACAAAGTATGCAACATGAAATCCCTATGAATCAAAATTCCAAAAGTCCAATGCTATTATTTTGCACATTAATACGCACTGTCTTTCTGGGGAAAACGGGTATACGCGGTCGCTTTAAAGTTTTCTTTTATTATACTAAATCCACAAATATCCATATTGTATAAAATTATACGATATATACCTTGAAGTGTAGTCTAAAGTATAAGAGTATAGATCGAAAGAATTATTCAAAGCTCCTCTAATTTAATGTACTACATATATACATACATTCTCCAAGCTATAGCAATATATACTATATGTTATATGCATTATATATCTATCCACTCCAGTGATTATCAAGATTGATTTGCCTACACGAAACACACCACAAACATTTTGCTTCGCTTACAGTTTGAGAGCTACTGGTCTATGCTAACCGTTTTACAGTTTGCGGACTCGCTACCAAATGGTTTTTTTTTCTTTTTCATTTTTGACTCAGTTTAATTACTTTTAAATTAAAAGATAAGCATTGTGCAGTTTGATATACGTATTATTTTGAGCTTTACACTTGTTTGTATTCTATTGAATTTTAAGGCACTTTTTATGGCAGCTGCACCTGTCGCCACAAACACTATTCTGAAAATGCTTGCAAATCGGATTAAATGTTTATGTATTTTGTATTATTTTTTGGAATGCGTTTGCATAATGCTTCCACCAGCTGCAAGTCTTCATTTAGTAGAAAAAATTCTAGTTTTAAGAAAATCTTTAGAAATATTTGATATAACCAATATAATTAAAAATTATATCTAAATGTATATGGTGTAATATTAACGAACTAAGTAGCTAGGCTTATACAAATAATTATGCATATTATTGTTCGCTATATGCTGTTTGTAATATGTGTAATAAATAATATAAAACATTGTGACGAATTTTTATTTTTAATGTCTCTGAAGACTAAAAACTTAAGTGAGAAATTCCAAAAAGAATTTACCATTCTATAAGATATATAATTTCTCACTACTCTAAATTATCAATTCTTTCATTTGGATTAAGTTAACAAGTTTTCAAATTTGGCACCAATTATGTCTAAAAACAGCTGACTAACGAGAGATACACCAGAGCAACAGCTGCTGTATACCCGCCCATCGATAATAATTGTGTCCATATCGATTACAACTATCGATTGCTTAACATTTGCAAATTCAGAAATATCTGTTAAAATAACAACAATGTTAAGCTTAACAGAACAAAGTTAACCCCTGAACGAATCGGCCGCACGCGCTGTTATTACTGCTCGTTCGTTGCAAATTGTTTAAATAAAAAACTTAAATACACAAGCAGCGAGACGATTGCGCTCAGTGGAACGCCGGCTGCTGGAAGAGAGAGTTCCATATTAGCGCACGAAATCCGAAAAGTGTACCGCGTGCAATTTAAGGCTGGCCAGCGTATAAAACAAGAAAAATAAAAAGTAAATGCTTACCAAACGTAGTTGAGAAAAAAAAAAAAAACAAACAAAAATATGTAATTGAAAAATGAAAGAGTGCTAAAGTGTTGAGTGAGATTAACTGTGAATAGGAATTTTGTCTGCCTTTTTTGCCACATGTATTTTTATCGTATTTGTGTACTTTATCGATTACGTCGGCGCGCTCAGCATAAAATGAGAGAGAAGATGAAATGGGCGAGAAGATGAATGTGTGTGGCGAAACGAGTGTTTGGTCCCTTTTTTTTGCCAGGGCGGCGGTGGTGGGACAACATAAACCCCATACATATACAAGCGGCACACATGCACGCGCTCACATATGCATGCGTGCATGTTTATATGAAAACCTTAGCGGCAAAAAAAATTTCACTAGAAATTTTGAAAGCGTTGGGCCGCGAAAAAAACCGGATATGATACTCTAAAGCTAAGCTTTCAAACGAAATGAAATGAAAAAAAGTACCTGAGTGTAGTCGTGTGAGTGAGTGTGAGTGTATGTATCTGTGGTGAGTGTGCGTTGTGCCTATGTATGTACATATGTGAGCTTGTGTGCGTAGACGAACTGTCGCGTGTCTGGCATGCAATTAGCATTCAAATACGAGCATGCATATATGTACATATGTATATGTAGTCGTATACCCATATGTATGTATGTCTTCCATGTTATTAACTTTATTTTTCTTCCCGGCACCTGCCAACAGCGCCGTTCGTATATTATATATTTTTCGCGTTTCGTTTTGTTACACATTTTTTTTCGACTGTAAGATAGAGAAAATGAGTGAATTAGACTAACGCAGCCGCCAGACTGTCGCGTGCCTTACCTCAATGTGCCCCCTCCTATTAGCTCCTACTACTTTTAACATTAATGCGACAAGTGCATGGAAGCCACTGGCGAAGGTGTGAAATGCGGAAGACAAAACAGAAGATGGTGAAGAAGAAGCATCAGCAGCCGCCATTCATGAATGGATTGCATTTACGCGCGCTTATGTATGTGTGTTCCAAGAGAGCGGCAGGCGCGCTCTCTCCTCTCAGTGTTTATGCAAAATCAATGGACCCAACTGGAAGGTCACTCTCTGCAAGCCAAAAAACTTATGCGCGCTTTCTATTTTTCAAATGCGGGTCAAAATTTAAGATTACAAAATAGCAACAACAAAACTAAGATAAAAAAATTAAATAAAAACAAAATAATAATAAAAAATAAATAAATTGAAAAAAAAAAATTGTGCATGTGTGTGATTTTTGGTAACCAGTAGTCTCTATAATCAATATCTCATATTGTTTTTCTCTCTGTAGAAACCCGCCAACAGTCATACACACAAAGCCCCACATATACATATACACATAGTCTATCCCCTACTCAGAAAGTACACACCGGCAGCACAATGATCAACATGGACATCAGCGTTACGCCCAACTATTCGTATATCTTTGATTTCGAAAACGATTTCATACACCAGCGCACACGCAAATGGATGCTGGAGAACTGGACATGGGTCTTCTACTACTGCGGCATTTACATGCTCGTCATATTTGGGGGTCAGCATTTTATGCAAAATCGACCGAGGTAAGTTTATATTTTATGGCACATGTCTATATAAAGTGTTAACTCGCTAACGTAAAAAAGGAATATTTTAGTGTGCCTTTAAAGTACATTCTTCCTGTAGTTGATTCTGTTCATATTATATGCCTATTAAAATCTCTCGAGTTTTGTTTTTGACAGAGCGGATTGTATGTATCTTCAAGCAGAGCTTTCACTGTAGCATATTTAGTCTGTTTGAATTTCGCATGCGTTGCATAATTCGCTCGCTCTTCAACTCTCTGTCCCTCTCTTGCTCTTTTATTATTAACTGCTTTTGACATTGGGCCAGCACTCTGTCCCAGACACATACAGATGTCCGACAGTCTGTCGGAAACCATGAACCAGCAGCGTTATTCTCTTGCTTTTCTCACAAAAGAAAAACGGTTTGCGGCGCGTGTCATGTGCCTTATTTTCTTATTGGATCGCCCCACGCTCTGCACTTTCTCAGTTTGGCCAATAAGATTTAATATTTGTGGAATTCAGAATTGTGGAATGCCAATATTGATTGTCTGCTTGTTTCCATATTTAGTTTTGGAGACAAGCAAACTTTTGTTGTCTACAGAAAGCTTTAGAATATGGATTTGCTCCTTATCTGTGACACATAAACAAACTACCTAAAGCCAACAAATGTCAACGCGGCAACTTTAATATGAGCATTAAATAACATATTACTATTTCTGGGCTTAACTACTAAAACTTATTAGCTTGTGGAACCAACACAACACATTATTCAGAATATAGCATAATATTATATTGTAGAGCCATTAAACCTAATATCAACTAATTCAAGTACAATTAAATTCTAATTAAAGTTTTTTTTATATGCATATATTGCTATATCAGCTACAATATGGGACTTCAGTACAATTCCCGTACAGCTGCTACTCACATACTTAAGCGTAATTATAATGTAGTACCTCCCGACTGGCTTACCATGTAAAGTGTTCGCAATTTCGAATTTCCACCTGCGCTCGTGTTAATGTACGTAAATTATAGGCCGCAGCACATGGAGTGTTACGTCCAGATAGGGTCACGTTACTTACCCAAAGCAAACCTTGCTTAACTAATTCCTACAAAAAGTAAACCCAATAACAAAACAAATTATCATCATGTCAATTTGACCTGAACAAATTGTTGCAATTTTTCAAAGTGCAATTGCAATAATAATTGCGACTATGACTTCGACTGCGATTATATAATTTTGACTGTCGAATCGTCAATTGTCGTTAAATATCTGAATTGACAGCTGACATGACAATCCAAGAAGGGCGCACGCTACATAGCCAGACAGCGACTATTTCGGAGCAAGGATTATTCAAAACAAACTCACCAAACGTAAACACGGAAACTTTTTACTGCGAAATGTAGATGTCTGTGATGCAAGCAGTTCCCGGAACTCTGCTGATAAACTTAAAACAGTTTTAGTTGTTGTAATTCGAATACAGTATATTGGTTTGTGCTATGTCCGTCTTGAAATTGATACATGAAAAGTCTTTGCCAGTAATGCTTACTGGCCCTTAGTGGCCCTTACTGGACCTTCTACTGAGCTATCTCAGATGCATTGCAATACATTGTACGAAGTTATTGGCATTAATTCTACTGTATTTTAGTTATTTTGTTTTCCGTCCACTTCTTAGAAGTAGTTTAGTTTTGATCTACACCACTGCTCTCTATTTCTATGCTACATGAAAAACTGAAAAACAAATGTGAAAAGTTTTCAATAACATCGTTTGTTGGCGACAGACAGCTGCAATTCCGTTTGGCCTTCAATAAATTTGATTGCTTATCGCAAACGTTGTGATTGTAGCGATCGAGACATTATTTTTAAAGACAACGTCGATTCTCTTACTAAATTGTTTCTATATTTTGAGTGGTGATCTCTTTTTATATGATGTCTTCTTATATAACGAGCATGCAGCATGTCCCACGCTTGAAACTTTAACTCCCTCTCTCTCTCTCACTCAATCAATCTCTGTAAGATTGACCAACCTGATGATTTCGCCCAGGGCTTGGCTCATGCATACGCCTAGATTAGACAAATTTTTTATATATGTTTGTATGCATGTTTACATACAGGTGTGTGTATGTGTATATATATATGTATATATATTCCCTATTTAGTTTGTTTTACACTTGAAATCTTGTTTCAATATTTACCCACCTTGGACTTGGAACAGAAAGGTGCAAATGGAATAGGTTGCCACGGTGTTCAGCACGGATCGGTGATCTGCGTCAGTCAAATGGGCTTTACACAAAAGTAATACAAAATGCATTGTACACGCTTAATAAATCGCGCTGAGATCATCTTTCGATATTTATTTTTATCTGCCAACTTAAACAACGATCTTTGGAACGCCCTTATATACTGTAAACTCTGTGATTTCTGCAATTAACTGAAATATATAATATATATACATATATATATATATGCTTATATACGTTCATGTGGGTGTGTTATCAGTCCATGCTCGCGCCATTTGGAACGCGCTCTTATCAATTGAATTCAACACAATATTGGGGCAAGAGAAACCGAATAATGAGAGGCAGAACAAGCCGGCTGTCGTAATTGTTTATGATATCATTTACCATGATTCACGTTAGGGTTCAACTATATAGTAATTCGATCACACACACAAAAACGGTAAATGGTACAGTGAGTGCGAGTTTCTTGAAATGAGAATCGCTGGGAAGGCCTTGTTTACTCAACATTTTGCTCTGTGAATTTATACTTTTAGACATAGTTTGTAGAGTTGTATTGTATTATTGACTCATGCTACACAAAATGAGCTTCTCTTTAAATTTATACAAATTCTAACGATTTATTAATAAATATTAAATCAGTTTTTAGCATATAACAAATATAACTGATATATTTCATAAACTTGTTTTGTTTATCGTGTACACACTGTATTATTACTATATTTGGCACAGTCGTTTTCCACTTGGAGCCTCAATTCAAAGTCATTTAAATGTGGCCCAACTTTTTACCCAAATGTGACTACAAATCACATACACACGCACGCAAACACACCTACACACACATATACATATAAATACATGTAAGTTCCACCTGATCCCTCGGCGACTCTGAGAAACATGTCACAAGTGGGCCTGCCTCTGGCTGCTTAGACACAAAAGGCGCAGAGGGGCGCAGGACATTCAATTACCCCAAGGCAACATTTCTGCATGCATGCATTACACTAGCCAACAGAGAAGGCGAATTTTACATAATCAAAAGGGTACAAGGCTAAACAAAGCAAACACATTATAATTAAGAGGAATAACAAAAACCAAAAACAAGAATCTGAAGTGTGCAAATATTTTGTTGCTCAGTGTAGCTCGGCCTCGCCGCGTGTTGTTGCGTGTGCTGTTCGTATATAAAATAATGGGCTACAGAATCTACATCATATACGTTCTGCCCTGTGTGTGTGGGCGCGAAACGTCACACACTGTGAGGGATGGCGAGAGAGAGAGGGAGAGAAATATGGCATAGTGAAGCCAAAGTTCTAGGTTTATAGCCATATAGGGTAGAAGTATTAGGCACATGTCATAGAGGTAATACTTAGCCAAGTTTGTCAACAAATATTTGGCATCAGTTTTGAAGTCTGCCTCTATTAAACAACAATGAGTTGCTTTATTACAGCGTAAGCTTTAACATAACTGAAGGAAAAAGAGAAGAGAGACAATTTTTAGGCTGGCCTGTCTGTGGAATTATCACAGTCAAACGTGAGAAATGGGTGACTATATACCATTTTCCCCAAGCTAATCTAAGTAAATTGCCTATGGATTTCCTAGAATAACCTTTAAGCTAGGCAAAATATAGAAATACTTAATTATACAGATTTAGACTCGTCAGATTCCTGACCTTTATACATAATAGAATTAACTAGTTTTTTATTTTTATTTTTTTTTATTTTATTTAATTATTGCCTTTAGAGAATTGCTGAGTAAATATGAGGAAACTACTATAAAGCAATGAAATTTAGTTTATTTTCGTACCAACCCACATAAAAACCAAACAAACATCTTATAGTTGTGAGTGTGTGTGTGAAAATTACAGACGCTTGTCAAAAAGCCAGGTACACTCACTGTAACCCTACCAAATCAAACGGTAAAAAATGTCCCTCTATGTAGTGGCAGCACGCAAGTAGCTAAATTTCCTCAGCCCGTGTAAAGTCTTCTGGCGCGTCAGAGCAGAGGAAATTATATTTAAAATATTAATACATAATTGTTGTATATGACGTGACGTGTCGAGTGGGCGTGACGGTTCAGTAATTACCGCGAAGCATTCGCAATTACAAGCGGCAACAGTCCCACAATAACAGTTATTTATGCACATATACATTGACAGATGGAAACATATGTATATTAGGTTTTTATTGAGCGCAAACAACGATCAATTCAGATGCCATGTGTAAAAGTGAAATTTTAAAGGTTGCCAGCAAGAAATTAACCGTTATCTTTGACAAGTCTAAAGATAGGTAGGTAGTAGAAGAGAGTATGCGAGAGAGAGAGAGTGAGAGAGAGAGCATGCTAATAAAGTGTGTCATTCAAATATTTACGAAAGCCTACGTAATAACAACAACAACAACCAGAAATGTAATCAAAGCAGAAATTCAATTCTGCTTGCCCGCGGCTGCATCAAAAGCTCAGCTCGCCCAGCTCTCTCTCTCTCTCTCTCTCTCTCTCTCTCTCCCTCTCTCTCTCTCTCTCTCTCTCTCTCTCTCACCCGCTCTTCCGCTCTCTTCATGTGCAGCAGCATCTGTGTTGATCATGCCAGATTTTCGCTTTTACTTTCGACATCGATTCGTGTTGTTTACCTTTGTGATTACCACAGCTGCACCTGCTCACATAGTTGTCATTCTTCAAAAATTTGCGCATGTTGACCTTTAAAATATTTAATACAGAGAAAGAGAGTGAGAGAGAGACTCCCTCGCTCTCTCTGACACCCTCACACGTTGCGTTAAAGACCGTACAAAATTGGAATTTTGAGAACTTTACAAAAAGATAAGGATTTTCGCTTGCGATATTAGTCTAGGCAGTTTTTTTCGAATATGATTGTGGAATCAAAAGCACATACAACTTTTGTTTAATCTTAAACTCCAAATCAACCTTTTGGCACTGCTTATCAAATGTATCCATTTAAACATGCAATTAAGTTCAACTTCAAATCTCTGACCCTGTGAAGATTACGCAAGTCCAGCATTCATATTGGTCAAGAGGTCAACTATTAAAGACGAGCATAATAATTATGCATGAACAAATTAAAAAAAAAAAAAAATCAGTTGACAGTAACTAAAGCAGGGAAACCGCAAAAAAAGAAACAAATGTTGCAATGCAAAATCAACAACAACAAAATGTTGGCCAAATTAAAATGAGAGAAACACAAAATTGAATTGCCGTCAACTGCTGTGAGACAATGTTGCGAATTTGTGGCCCAAAAGGCAAAACGAAAACAGCAACAACATCAACAGAAACTGCAAATCAGCCGTAAAGAGCATATACATGCATATTTTTTATACACCTAAATTATATGTATATACATACGCACACACACACACGCCCACGTAGCTGAATAGGTATCAGCATGTCTGCATAAATAAAGTCCGAAAAAGCAAACAATAGTCGACTGAAACAAGCATTTGATTACGTTTGCTTCATTACAAGTCGTCGTATCGGCTGCTCTCTTTTAGACTCTCTCTCCGTCTCTATGTATGTATGTGTGTGTGGTGGCACTCTCTCTTTGTTAACAGCTGCTTGTGCAGCTTGCATAATTCCTAAAAAGTCCAGTGCATTGCAAAATCTGGTTTTGCTCATTGTCAAGGAGGGGCGGAAGAGAGAGAGGAGCGAACGCTTTGCTAACTGCCTTCCCCTCTCGCTCTCTTACACACACACACAAGCGCAACCGCTGCCAGCTGCTTATGCAATTTTCGCAAAGTGAAAACTGACATTGGAATTTTGGTAGTCGCAGTCCTCTTCACCTCCCTTACTCAGCCATCAAGGCAAGCATCATCAATCGGGCAGATCGCTACACCCAAAATGCGAGCACAGCAAACCGGACACAAAGTAGGCGCCGGCCCGCCGCACTGCGCATCTGAACACGGGGACGACCTGTGCCCTATCAAAAATTGAGCTTCAAAGGGACCTTGCAGTCCCTTCTGCCGAGAAGCCAAGCTGCCAAGCGATTAGCAAGGCCTATTGGTTTTCCTTACTCATTATGTTTTGGCACGAATCGCATGTGGCGGCCACAGCGCGAGTCATGGACGGCCGGGCACAACCGTTTGGGAATTATAAGGGTAGTAAAAGTGTTGAAATTCCCAACAGCGACGTCGTTGAACGCTGTCGTTGAGAGAAGTTGCCTTTGCTTGATTCGTTTAAATAAAACGAATTTAATTTGCTTTTATTTTTGTTTTCTGCTTTTTACTAAATTGTTCAGAATCTAGATATGGTCTGCTATAGCATAGTTGTAAATTAATAGAGCAGCGAACAGCCGCATCAGTAGCAACAGCACACGCAGCTTAATTGTCCATTGTCTCTGAGTGTTTCTTATCTGTGACAATTTAGTGCTATGATACACATATATTATATAGAGGCCACTGCCTGGCATGCAAATCTCTCAATTTGTTTTATTTTTCCTGGTTTATATATACATCTAAATCTAGCTGGTGTTTAACTAGAGATTCCAGTACCTACATTCCTAAACAAAATGCAAAAATGCCATAATTATATCATTGATGCGTATTAGTAGAGTTTATTTGCTTGAAAACTTTGCACTTTGAAAACTTATACAGCTTAGAAATCTCACTTGATATACTGCATATATCAGTATTTTGCATATATTAAGTAACTAAAAATACTTAGAAATGTATAGCTTAAGTTTAAATAGTTTTTTAAAGCAGTATTACTGCCTGATAAGTCAACCAAATTTATTATAATGAAAAATTACGTATAACGAATAGAACACACCATATTCAAGCTCCTCCGCCTTCACTGTTTCGATAAAAGTCTATCACTATTGATTTTCTTTTTTTTTTTGTCTGACAAGTTATTTCTATGAGTAATACGAATGATAAGACTTGAGGCAGAAGTGTAACAAAATAGTTATTTCAATGTACTTTTAAATGCATTAGACATTGGATGCAAATAGTATTAATAGATTAGCTAGCTGACTAGGTAGTTGGCTGATTGCTAGTACTTTTTACTATGTATATACATACATACATGTATAGGTTTCTTTCTTTGACTCAGACCCGGCACGCCCTTGAGTCATGCTCTGTTCATGCTGTGTTTTACGGGCTACTCAACAATAAACACATCGCTTTAAAAATAAAAAATAAATAAATATATATATATATATATATATTTTTTTTAGAGCGATGTGTGTATATATATAAGTACATATATAAAACAGTTTAACGCTCATTAAACCTGCGAAACATGTTTGGAGCACGGATGAAAAAATTTCATTAATTGCAATCAAAAGTAAATTATCAACTTTGGGAACTTTTTATCACATGATTTAGCTATATAATGAATAAATATGATCTAGAAGTGGGGAGATTTAAAAAATATATGGATCAACTGGCTAAGTAAACTTCATGGTGTGTTTAGATTTATGAACTAAAAGTGATTTACAAACTTCCGGGCTTAAGCATTTTTATCAGGAATAATTAATAATGTCTAATATCTATATAACTTGAGATCTTTTTATGTGGATCAAGAGCTGTAACTGAAACAGCACTGTGCGTAGCTGAACACCTTGTCCTTCTTGAAGGGTATATATACTATATAAACTTATATATTAAATAAGTAAGAAGATCGTAAATGACGTGCCGATCGCACGATTTATTTAGATTTTTTTGTTTGTTGATTCACAAATGCTGGGAGATCTGATAATTAAAATCTAAATGCTTTGACTTCGCGGTAACCTTTAACGATTAGCCAGAAAACACATATGAATGTGTATGTGTGTCTTATGTACTTATATGCATGCCAATATGTATGTATGTTTCATAGGTCATGCCCCCAGGAGTATAACGCGTGTCGCGTAAATTAATTTTGATCTTTAGGCCAACTAAATAGCTAAATGATAAACACTTCATGAAATGAATAACAAATGATTATTGCATAGATTATTGTTCTTGCTATTGTTATTTGCTCCCGCTGCCACAGCCTCGCCCTATTAACTGACTTGACTGAAAATAAACTTCAAAGTTTGTTGATCTTTGCTTATTGCAATGCAATATTTGCATATTCATGATCAGTCAAAGTCACACAGACAAATTATGACGAGCGATAGAGTTGACGTAAATGTGCTATTTCGAGAATATTAGTAGAAACATATGAACTAGTTCATTTTTTAGAAAACTTAATCTTGATTTAACTATCTTAACCCACTCTCTCGATCTCTTTTCTCTTTTAGATTTCAACTGCGTGGCCCACTGATCATATGGAACACCTTGTTAGCCATGTTCAGCATAATGGGCGCTGCACGCACTGCGCCGGAACTGTTGCACGTCCTACGGCATTATGGACTATTCCATTCGGTCTGTGTGCCCAGGTAAAGTACTTCAATACTCTTTTTGCAAGCTCAGCAGCATCATCATATCTCTCTCTCTCTCCCTTTTGCTCTCTTTCTACCACTCTGATGCAGTTACATTGAGCAAGACCGTGTGTGCGGCTTCTGGACCTGGTTATTTGTGCTGAGTAAACTGCCGGAATTGGGCGATACGATATTCATCGTATTGCGTAAACAGCCATTGATCTTCCTGCACTGGTATCATCACATCACTGTGCTGATCTACTCGTGGTTCAGCTACACCGAATACACTAGTTCCGCCCGCTGGTTCATTGTGATGAACTACTGTGTGCACTCTGTGATGTACAGCTACTATGCGCTCAAGGCGGCTCGCTTCAATCCCCCACGCTTCATCTCAATGATCATCACGTCGCTGCAGCTGACACAAATGATCATCGGCTGTGCGATCAATGTGTGGGCGAATGGATTCCTGAAGACGCACGGCACGCAATCGTGCAATATATCGCAGCGCAACATCAATCTATCGATTGCCATGTATTTCAGCTACTTTGTGCTGTTCGCACGCTTCTTCTACAAGGCCTACTTGTCACCCGGTGGTCACAAGAGTCGCCGCATGGCCGCCTCGTTGGTGGCACAGAATACGGCCAAATTGTCGAGCCCCATTTCCACAGCTGATGCGAACGTCATGTCTAGCAAATATGTTGGCGAGGATGCACAGGCTGCCTATATGCGCAAGGCGAAGGCACAGTAGAGCCTAACTTTAATGTAGCATGCGCCCCTCTTCCTCTGGCAAAAAGGACGTTTGATTTATACTGTAGCGGAATATAAAAGTTGTTTTTTAAGTTTTAAACCCAGGCAAAACTCAACATACACACAGATACTGGCGCACATATGAGGGGCGTTTGATCAACTTTAATTATAAGTTTAGAGTTTTACCAGGCAAAACTGGCTTACACACACCCATCTATATATATTTATTTATATATATAAAATGTCATGTACATAATGAAATTGAAAATTTGAAGCCAAGTCGAGTCAGTTAGGTGATTTTTGTAAAAAGTTAGCTATGGAATGGATGAACTTTTATCAGTCCATAAAGCAAAGAGTCAGCGATATATGTATATAGATGCTATACATATACTATATCTGTATAATCAGCCCCGAGCCGTGTGCTGTTTAAGCCTAAAGTTCTTAATACTTCGAGTATAGTTTTCCAATTTGTTTTCTTGTAAAAAAAGAAATAAATAATATTTAACATTTGTGTTTAATAGATTATTCTTAATCGATGTTCAAATCCAACAAATAACTATCTATATACACAACTAATTACATACATATATTCATATATAACTCTAACTGTTTGTGTTAGCTGTTTTGTTCTAATCGATATTCTGGGCAGAGAACTCGAAAATCAATGTAATGTTTTTAGTCTAGTTTTCTATTTGCGCAAATTGTTAAAAGAAAAGAAGTTGAAAATAAGAAGAAAACATATACTGAATTCAATAACTAACTTTTGATAGAAAAAAAAAAGAAAAACTAACGAAAACAAAAAAAAAAAAAAAAAACGTGGCAGGGGCATGCATTTAGTTTCGATTTTTTAATTTTTCAAGAAATTTGAAATGATCAAAAAGTTTCTAATGGCAAAGAAGAAAAAGAATGTAACAAAGAAAAACAAAGCAAATGCTTAAATTATATATTTATATTTGTAAGAAAAAAAGTCAAGCAAAAAGTCCTACTTGAAAAGTTATTTTAGTATAAACGAAGCAAACAAAAGATAAGTAAATAAAGAACGAGAAGGAAAGGAAGGAAGAGTTGAAGTAATACGAATGCTCATGCGTTCCTGAGACAGTAAAAAAAAATTAAACAAAACTTTAAAAAAAACATGGAATTTTTTGTCGGGTAAATATTTAATAACGAACAAAAAGGAAGAAACTTAGAAAACGGATAAATAAAAGGTAACAAAAGGAAAAGGAAATAACAAAGGTGTTTCATTCCATGTCTTTGTTTCAGTTCATATAGTCTGCCTGTTATATGCATAACAGTAGGAAGGCTTACCCATGGCATTGTCCAGCAAATACAACAGTAACATGGTAAGGTACAATATAAAAGATATAAATGGCACTCCAATGAGAAACAGATGCATGAAATCTAGTGCGTCAGCTGTTGAGTTCCGAAACGAGTTGGACTGTGAATAAAAATAGGCTTCCGGGTGAAAAATAGAAATGGAAAAAATGAAAAGTTGCCAACATAATTAACAAGCTATCATCATAATAATAAAATCAAATATAAGTTGGCACCCAATATGTACAATAGCTATGGACTCATTAGCTGGCCTATTTATTTCCTGACTTAATCTTAAAAGTGTTTCTTCGAGTATTTCCTCTAAGAAATTCCCCTAACTTATTCCTCCAAGTATTTGCTTTAAGCATTTCCTCAGTCTTTAATGCATAGCTGAAATGTATATAGAATACCCGAAAAATTTTTAATTCAATTAACTACAAAATAATTTATAATTTTACGCAGTTTGAAAAATCGAAGTTGTTTACTTGGCATCTTGACATAGCCGTTGCTCCGAATTCCGTTTGTAATTGATCTAGGTTCAAAGCTAATATTTCAGCCTCACCTATACCCGATTAACTGCAACTCAGTTAAACGCAAAATGTCTAAGAGGGAAAACATTTATTTTCTGAAAAAATGTTTTACTACTACATTTATGTATACATATATATTATATAAGTTTTTGACTTTATCTTTATCGAGAAAGTGTTATTCTCCAAAATTGTTTCGATAATTAAAATATCCTTAAAATTTTGTAATACTAGACTAGAAAATGTTTTGCTAAAATACTTAAAAAGTGTATTTTGCAAGTGTGTGCGAAAGAGTCTCCGTGTGTGTGTGTGTGTAACTGTTTCTAAGTAAACGCACATTTGAAAACCCCAGGACCTAGACATTATTATTATAATTATTAGTAATATGTGATAGATTACAAAAAAGATCCGGATAAGCTCTAGAGTATTACACATATACTACATACGGAATATACATATGTAAGTAGTTTATGATGCATGCATATTAGTATATATAGTATTTTTATGTGAAAAACAGCCGAAAGTTGAGTCCAACCAATCTTCCACTTAGAATGAATCAAATAAAAGGAATGTCTTTTTGGCTTCTTTGTTTTTTCTTCGAGTGTATAATTCAATGCTTCATCTTTTTAAGACATATAAAACGTATTCATTATAAATAAAAACAATAAATTATAATAGTGTTAAAGAAATGCCAAAATATGAACAAAAAACAGAACTACAACTTTTTTCGAGCCATTTGCAACATATTTTAATAAATTTGTAGTATAGTTTTTTCATTTTAGTTTAGGCTATAGTTTGTTGTTGCGTTTCGCATTGTCCCGTGAGCTATGAGTGTTTACGGATTTTTTTTTTTCTTTTTACCAATAATTGAATTACAATGTTTGAATTTTAGTCACTAAATTGTAAATGGTTTAAAATTTAACAATGTTGGAAAAGAATTAGTTGCGAATGTTGCTTGTGTGGTTGGCGCTCATGGCTGTTTGATTGGATTGTTTGTTGATGTTTTTCTTGTTTAAATAGCTTTTGATGGTTTCTTAACTCGTTCACTCTCCTCGTGTTGCTGCTGCTGTCGTTGTTGATAAACAGCCTCCCGATATTTGCTTCATTTGCGTCGACTGCACACAGTGCTCCAACCTCCAGAGTCCAATTGTGGCTGTTGCCTTGGATGTTTGTTGCTGGTGTTGTTGCTGCTGCTTTTGTTGATGTTGTTAGTAGTGGAAGCAACGTGTATAGTAGACGCAGCAGCATCATCTCACTTTTTACCGGGAGGCGCTATTGGTTGGCCGCGCTCCTTGCCACGTAATTTTATGCCAAGCACCCGCTCCATTTTGCCAAGTATCAAGTTGTTGGGAATTCCACGTCCAGCTTCATAATCCGTAACCACCTGCTGTTTCTCGCAGATTTTCTGGATCAAATATAATAATATTAATTTTCATTCATAAATTTTTCTAAATTCATCTTTACCGTGGCCAAGTCCTTCTGGCTCATACCCTTGGCTTGGCGTCCTTGCTGAATTATTTTGCCAACATCTAACGGTATCTTGTCATGCCGCAATTCTTCAGTCTCACGATCCAGCTTGGCAGTGTTCTTAGTAGTCACATGCTGCTTGTTGGTGCCAGCACCATCTAAGTAGAAAGTATAAACGTGTTCTAATTAGACCGATCAATTACAAGCGTGAAAACGCCTTTTAAGCCAAGGTCTTGTCCAACTACATTTGAAAGCTGTGTAAGAACTGATTCACCCAAATTACCAGTTGACCCTTTGATCTATATAAGCTGAAAAAATTCAATTGAACAAACACGCTTTTTATTAAGCCAATCAATAACTACTTGCATCACAGTAAAGAAATGCTATTAAGCTATCTCTTAACATTCTGAATCAAAAATACGTTTCAAATATGATGAGAAACTAACTCATGAACTGAACCAGCAGAATGAATTCTTTTAAATGGGTATGAAATCAGATAAAGACCTCGGAGATGTGCAAAATCTAAAAAGAGAACCTACCCCATTGGCATAGATTCAAATTGCCAATAAGGCAAAAAAAATACTTATGTAGAAAGTCCGCTCTCAATAATAAATTTGAATTTGTTATTTTAAATATCATTGATTCATACTATACTCCAAATTCATTCAATAGTCATCATTTGTAGCTGTATTTCGATTGCAGGTCCGCGCAAGACAGTGGCCAAAATGGCCGGCTATCATTTAATTGAGGAGCAAAGCAAACATTGTGAAATGTTAAAGTAATGCGAAATTGGACTATTCACGCATACATAAATACATGTGCACCTACATCTACACACACATGCCTAGAAAGCCACTTTTGAGCAGCAGAAACAACAACAATAAATGCCACGCAAATCACATCGAATATTGCAGCAGCAGGCACAACTGCACATCCCACCAACTATCCTTACCCAAAAAAAAAAAAAAAAAAAAAAAAACAATTAAATAAAAGACGTTGCTGCCTACCGCCGTCAAAGACTTCATTAGGTTACATTGGCTATGCCTTGCTTATTTTACTTACATTTTTGCTGCGTATCAACGGCAACACCTTGGCGGCGTGCCTGATTAACAGCTGATTCGGTCTTCAGTTGGCTAGACTTAGGGGCCTTTTTCCTCAAAACAGTTACCGTATCCCAGTCCGACATCTTTTTATTTTTGTATGGCGTAAATATGAAACAAACGTTGAACGTGTAGCAAAAATCGTGCGGCACATTTATGTGAATGACAAACGACTTACTTTTGACTGCTTTGTTATTAATTCTTTCCTTAATATGAATATATATAGTGACTATTTTGTAATTAAAACTAAAAATTCCAGAACTATCTATATATGTGTGTGAAATACCTGTACGGTGTGACTCGAGGAGTCGTATGGTTGTTTACGAGCAGAACTAGTTCGATAACTTCCACGTGAAGTGGTTAGTGGCTGAACGCAATTATTCTACTCACTTGATGTTGGCTGCGCGCAATCCGGAGCGAGCCCTCAATTGGCTTAGCGCACCATCGTCAGCTTGTGATATTTGTTCGTTAGTAGAGTGCGGTCACTCTAGCTGCAGTCGTCTTGAAAATTTTACTTAAGTCTGTCGGGTACGCTGTGTCGTGCGGGTGGTTCATTTTTCTGTGCGTGTGTGTGTGTGTGTGAGAGTGTAATTGGAAAAATGCAAAGATATAGATAACTTCAAAGCTGCACTTACACACAGCTACAAAGAAAAAAGAAACGCAGAGCAATTTAAATTTTGGTTCTGTAAATGCAAAATATGTGAGACGCAGACGCAGCAGCAGTGTGAAAGACGTAAGACGGGCAGACAAAGTGCATTTTAGGGCGTGTTTGTAAGCCCTAGCCAGACTCCCTCCACTTCAGTTACCCCCTGAAAGTACTGGCGCACTCAACAAATGAAACAACACAAAAAATCTATATTTTAATTGTCTCCTTAAACACATAAAAGAAGTTGAAAGAAAAAATCTGATTGGTAATTTCGCAACATCCTTGAATTTTTTCTACTCTCAATTTGCAAATTGGAGTAGCAATACAAGTGCGTGTGTGTGTGTGTGTGTTAGTGTATGGAGAGCGCATCTCGTGAAAGAAAGAAAAGAGACGACGACGCACGAAAGAAAATGTGTAGAGCAGCAAATTAAAATAAAGCAAGTGCAAATGCGATAAAAAAAATTATATATATAAGAAGAAGAAAAATTTATTGCAGCGCAGCTAAAACGAAATTGTGGAAAAAAATATAGAAAAAAATAAATAACATTGCATTTGGGGTGCATGTGATTGGAAGGATGGGCGCACAACAGGGCAAGGAGCGCGGCTCCCATTCGAGCGGTGGCGCCGGAGGCGGTACCGTTAGCTGTATTGGTGTCGGCACTAGCAGCAGTCCCGTTGCATCCGGTTCGCCGCACTGCATCAGTGGCGGCAACAGCGGCGCATCCGTTGGCGGCCTAAGCTCCAACTCCACTTTACGCAATTCTCGCATGAAATCACATCAATCTTCAGTACATGGCAGCATCAATTCGAGTGGTTCCTCGGCGCATCGCAGCGGTGGAGGTGGAGGCGGCGGCGGCTCGAGTGCGAACCACAAGGATAATCGCTGCAATCCCAGCGTCGGCTTAAATATATTTACGGAACACAATGGTATGTAACATTATGCCAGTTTATATATGGATGCATGTGTGTTGCATACAAATAAACCAACGCATACACATACGTGTATTGTACAAATGCATGATTACATACATACAACTGCACTTACAGTATGTATACACTAATATATACATAGCTTTTTACAGCTCTCTCCCTCTCTCGCTCTCTTTCCCTCTGTCGCTATGATTCTAAAGCATACTCTCATCCACTCTCTATTTCTCTGTTTCTCTCTGCCTTTCACTTGCTCCTTCTGCACTCTGTAGGCGCCGCTCTCTTCAATTGAGCCAATTTCTACTATTCATTGCTTCCGTTTTATTTAAAGAGCGGAATGTGTGCTCTTGTTGTTGTTGTTGTCATAACTGCTGTTGCCGGCATTGGCTATGGTTTTGCTTAGTGTTGTTGTTGTAATTGTTGCTGCTGCTGCTTCTCGCTTTTGTTTACAAGCGTAAACAGAATTTCGAGGCACGCGTCGAAGAAATGAGAGGAATTTGAAATTATTTTTGAGGGCGGTTTCGACTGCTGCTGATATTTCTGCTCCTTTTAACATGTCCCCCCCATAACCCTCACACCCACACCCTCACCTACACCCTTCTGCCGTTGAGCAGTGGTTGAAAGAGCAGCAGCAACAGCAGACACCACCCCACCCACCCCGACATAGAAACTAGTCGACAGGCATTTCCTGCGCTTTCCTTACGCATTTTATTTTTCTTCCTTCCTCCTTATTTGATATTCCCTTATTCCGTTGTTTGCTTTGACAAGCTGTAACATTTCCTTTTATCTCTCTCTCTTTTTTTCTTTCTCTCTCTCTCTCTCTCTCCCTCCCTCCCTCCCTCTCTCTCTCTCTCTCTCTCTCTCTCTCTCTCTCGCTCTCTGTATGGACCTCTTTTAATAGCTTTTTTATGTCCCTGTTGCTGTCCTACCACAATAGACGGGGCTGGGGCGCTACATATATTAAGCTGAATATCGAGCCAATCACCGAGCAATTGGCGTTTATACATAAGGAATTGCTAGAACCCTACAAATGTCAGACATTTGAGTAATATTTAATTTTATTAAGTAAGGTATATTCGCTGTTCAAATAGGAAAGTCTACATCTCCCAGCTAATAATTGAGCAATGCATTTGGATAACAGCGATTGGCATTGAAATTAGCTCCAATTTAAAAAATGCTTCTTTCTTTCGATTATTTGCCTCGTTTGTTGTTGTTGCGTAGCAATTTGTTTGCAATTATAATTATTTATTTATAGGATTAAATCGTTTTATGACGAGTATTACGACCGAACACTCTTCAGCTGATAAGCGATCCGTTTAATTTGTTATGCGACCGCATTGAGTCACAGATTACAATTTTCCTAGAGGCAGCTCAGTAAAAGAAACCTTTGCCGGGACTTATCAAATGCAAATCAAGATCATATAAGCAGTTTGTCTGGTCATATATTGGAGCTACAAGTTTGATAAAACCCCCGAAGAAATTTCATATATGTATATATATTTGTATATCAATAATTGAAATACTATCCACAACGCTTGCTCGCAAATTAGAACTTATATAAATGAATGTATGCATTTTTTGTGGCATCGAATAACCCTCAGCGCAAATAAAAATAAAACAAAACACGTTTCGCGCTATTTATCAGCAGTCAACTTTTTTTTTTGGCTTCTACGTGAGCTGCATACTTGCCTTTGTAGCTTTAAGTTCAGCGCCGAACAGAAAACTAACCTAAGTTTTCCCACACGAAATGAATCAAGTAAATTGCAATTGAATGCTGAAATTCACATAGAAGATGCAATATTTGATGTTGTTATTGTTGTTGTTATTACAAAATGGTGTGTGGTAGACAGATTACAAGGCAGCAACCGCAGTCGCGACCAGGTCGAATGCGACAGACCGAATGGCAGCCGCTAATTCAAAATGAAATCACACACAGAAAGAGAGAGATGCCGATCGTAAGAGAGCGAGAGAGACGGTTATAATTGTTGCCACAATAAGGCACAGTGGAACTAAAGGGCGAGAGCCCTGATTTCTTATATATGAATTGTTTTTATTTTGTATTTAGACTCTCTGTATCGAGTGGAAGGGAACCGTTAGGATAATAACGTTATATTTGTTGCTAAATATATCAACAAATTACATTTTTTGTCACACTGTGTGATAGTTGTAGGCGTTGTCTATGCACAATGGAAGCAATTCGACTAAAGCAAGAGCCGAGTTTTACGAGACGCTGTAATTAGATACGTTTTAGAGGCAATAGAGCATATAGAGGCCAATGAGGAGATATACAAATGGATATTGAATTTTGGATACCGCTGGGAAAGAAACGACGACTACCGCTTCTGCTTCAGTGGAACTGCCAATTGCAAATAGTTGAGCGTTGGGTGTGGGAAACAGCTATGCGGGAAATGGTGAAGAACATGAAGGGAGCAGAAAAGCAAGAAAGAGAAAGAGAAGGAAGGGGTGGGGAGGGGGAGAAGTAGGAGGCGTCGCTGTCTTTTCTTCGCTTTTGGCGACGCGTCGTCGTGTCTCAAAATAGCCTCGAAGTGAGTTGCAAAACTCCTTGAGTGTGCAAAGTGTTTGTCACTCTGTGTATCTGTCCCTGTCGCCCTCTTTCTCTTTGGTAATGTGAGTCGCTGGATAGATGAAGGCAGCAGGCGGGAGGAGGCGTCAATGGCCGTTGGACTGGACTCTGCTTTTTAGCTGTTTACTTGCAACATGCAAGCGGCAAATTATGAGACGAGGCAAATGAACTTTTCACATGGCTAATGGACGCCACACGCACAGCCACTAGATGTTGATATCTGTGTGTATGTATGTGTTGTGGGCACACGGCAAACAGGTGACGCGTGTGTAGTTGGTTTTGCAGTTTTCCCACTCGTTTAAAATTATGCTAATATATATAAACATTCTGCTTTAGTTATTTTCATAAAAAACGTCAGAGAAAACATAATTTAGTTGGGGCCATAGGATGTTAAGGAATTTAATACAATATTATATAAAAGAAAAATTAAATGTTATTTGAAGTCGATATCAAGAAGATTTTAGAACTAGATTATAGCTACTGGAAATGTAACAGTAAACACAATGTGATTATCTGAAGGCTATCATTAAAACAATGAGGAATGTTAAACAGCTAACAGCGCTTTAACATACAATTAACAGAGGTGCCGTGTTGCAGGCGTTACGTCTCCTTCTACTTTTTGTGACTTTGTTATATTTGCTTTTGCTTTGCAGTCGATGCAGTCGATATTCTATTATTAGCTGTCTCGTTCTCCGGCTTTTTCTTCCTCTTTTAGTTTCTTTTTATAATTTTCTTTACTTTTACTTCGACTTCGAGTCGACTTCGTCGTTGCCGCTGCCTGGCATTTCCTGGCATTTGCCAGTTCCACCAAAGTGCCACTCATCGTCATCATTATTATTGTTTTTGTTGTTTTTGTTACTGTTGCATGTCGTTTCGTTGCTTTTTTGGGGCCAAAGGGCTGTTTTCGATCAAGCTCGTAAATCCTTTCGTGCCTCGCTTTGCGTGCATTGCAATGCACTTTGATGTTATTTTTAGAGCCCAATGCCAGTCCCAGTCCGTCCCTATCTTCTGTTTATTGTATATTCACTGTTCTATGTTGCCCTACAATCCAATAAGAACACTAATTCAAGAACAACCAGCTGTGCGTACAAAGTCTAATTAGTATTTGGAACATATGTAAGAATATTAATATGTTGTCCCTGCCACTGCTTATAGCTCTCCAA